AGCTCTTCAGCTATTGCAACTGAGTAACTAAAATCCAAATCTAAGCCACCATATCCTGAAAATAATGAAAGTCCATATAAGTACAATGAAGGGCAAGTGTAATTTTGCAGTTGCGTAGTAGGAAATCTGTAAAAACTTATGCATGTGCGGAAGCCCGCACTGCTAATGTAACAGCTTTGATGTAAATTTATAAAAAACTTTTAAGTTTTACTCTGGGACTGCTGAAATTAATGCGGCTTACAACAAAGACATTGAGGATAACAATTATTTGATCTAAACGGCCGTAAAGAGTTCATTAAAATAATTATGATTTAAAAAGACTGTTTCACGTCCAATTTTGCACAAATGCATATTTACGTAAAAATAAACACACATAGGTCGCATACACACACACATACACATGCAAGTATACATAAATACATACAAATAATAAACAAATACACATGCACACATACATGGCTGGAGACCTTGGTAAGAATTGATAAATACATACATGCAAAAATAAACAAACATACATGCACATACACACATGCACGGCTAAGTGAACGCTCTAAGTGTTGAAAATTTTCAGTAACTCAGTCACCAGCCGGTTTATTGACTCCGAAGATGCCAAGTAATCCAAGCTGCTTGAACAGGACGTGAGCAGGGAACTGCTTCTTCAACTCCCACTCATCAACGAATGGATTGATTCCCTTGTCGATAAACTAAAATCTTATTTTTTCACAAAAAAAGATATTGGAAGATAGATTTTTGGACTGAATTAAAGTTTTGCTGGCAAATCAAATTTGATTCATTGGCGCTGTACTTGATTAATAAGCAATAAAAAAAATTTTATACGTTTAAATCTATCAGGTGACCGCGTTTTCGTTCAGTAATCAGTGTAGCGCTGGCAATAATGAGAGCATTGTAATTTATCTGTTTGAGTGTTTGGGCATCATACTAAGTATTTGAGCACCATATTTTAAATACTTAAGTATTTTTAAGTACTCAAGTACAGCACTTGAATAAATAGCAAATAAGTTGTCAGCTACTGGAGACCAACTGGTAATTTATTCACTTTTTTATTAATTTCAATCAGAAATGACAACTCCACACATATCTATCTGTCATATTCTTTATATCTATATGAATGCCGCCTTGCTTGCTTTGTTTGCTATTTATATTGTCTTTGTTTTTCGACTTTTGCTATCCCTTAATTAACAGAAATTTTTGCTATCCCTGTTATTTAAGTATATTTATCTGTTTATTTCATTTTAATGTTGTTTTTGCGCCGAGATGTTGCCGGAACTCCTGGAAACTTTTTCTTGAGCATAAGTTGAGCCGTAGAAATCTGTCAGATAGATTCGCAAATTACCTGTCCAAGTGCATGTCGAAACTGCAGATGCCGAGGTCCATAAAGAATGTGTTGCGTCAGTCGTGGCGCTATTTTGGGTACAGTTGCTGGCATTTGCAAAGGAGCTTAGCGATTTGGAAATTCAGAATTCTCGCACGATTCGGTTTGTTGCCTAAATTAGCGTGTGATTGATAAGTTATAATTTTTTTACGATAATCGTAATTTTGTAACTTATACGTAACCGACAGAGTACTCTGTGTGTGGTGTCCTGTTGAAATGGAGTCGTTTGTCAAGCGAAATTATTTCACTTCTTCTGAGGTCAGTAGTTGTTGCCTTTAATTTGTATTCCACCCTATATATCATGTACCAGTTCAGGTAAGGTAAAAACAGTGACAGTTTTGACAGGCAACCAGATAAATTAAAAAGCTGAAATTTCACGAAGATATTCTTTGTCCATGTGCGACCTGAAGATTTTAAATTTAATTGTCTTCCACGTCTACATCACGCGTACTGGTGCTTTTTGCCTAAAAGCATTTCAGCGGCTGATTAAGGCTTTAGTGTCACGTTTTGCGAAAAAAAAAAGACGACAATAAAAAAGCATTGTCATTTTCATCTTGCAATGAGCGCACTAGAAAAACAAATATTCGGTGAAATTTCATAGCAGTGAAAATGAATGGGAATTGGAAAAGAAATGTGTTCGATTAAAGTCGCCAAGAGGTCGCGGATGGGAAATCGAGTATCAGTATCAACAACGAAATGACTGGCGAGAAACGCTGAACCTCGGAAGGGACGACAGCTGACGGAAAGCGAATCGGGAACGCATCGCGCCGGCCTTTTGCTCAACGAAAAACTATCAGCGATGGTATCAAATCTTTGTTTTATCAGTTATGCAGTGAAACGTGTTTTGCCTATTTTAACACGGCCGGACCCAGTGGTCAGCTCGAGCAATTGTCAACGGGGAAAGGACAAACGGACAAATTCTTTCTTCCACATGCAGCAAATCCACCCCACAATCGTGTTTATTCTTCCGGCAGTAAAAGAAATAATAGCAAACTCTTATATCACTTGAAACCAGCTTGGTAAATTCACTTCGATGATAAATTGGTACTGGCATATGCAGGGGAGTTAAATCTGCTAGCAGCTTGCCTATAAGCGACCCTCAAAAGAGGAACCGTCGACAACTGTGCCAAGGGATGGATAGCTGCTCTCGGATTATTTCCGGATGCCTCTGCTTTGCACAGATAGTGAGTTCCCAATGAATTTTTAACTTTCTCAAAAAAGCTGATTGGCATGTCGATGAAATTGTGTTTTTACTTCGTTGCTGCGGATAAAAATAAGTGAGAGCATGTAGATGATTGC